CAGTGCTGAGTTTTCAAATGTAGCTGGATTTTTCCCTTGAAATTATTTCCTTAGTCCAAGCTGGCAGAATGCTACAAGCCTTATTCTGCAGCCATTTTATCTTTCTTACTCTTGCAACAAGTCCAAAATCTTCAGAGGAGTTTCTCTATCCATGACAAGCTGTTGTAAATTTTACTTTTAGATTATGCATGTGTATTTAGTTTATCTACACGCATATAGTTTATATGGACTATTTCTGTAGGCAAGGTTATCTAGTCATTGCTTTTATTATTATCTGTGTCACTTTTCTTGGCTGAACTAAATTTCATGAAAAATGTATTGTATGTCCAGTATTAATTTATTACTTTTAAATTTCTTTATTCTTGAATCAGGTAATCAGACTTAATAGACTATATAAGCACCTTCAAACAACGCCCTCCCCCTTCCACTCTTGTAAGAGTTTTATAGTATTCCTGTGTGCAATGCTTGTCTCCTTGTATTAATAGTTCTGTGCTAGAGGCTTTTACTTAGTTCACGTAAGTGTTAGGTACTGTACCTAATTTGTATAACATGAATATAAATAGCAGCATACTAGTATCTAAAACTAGGAGCTCCCTTGTTTATGTGGAATTGACTCCTATTACTGCCACTGGATTATGTGACCTTGTTTAATCTAGAAAGGGCCCTCTTTTCTCCTCTGTTTCAATGATTTGGGAACGTCCAGGGATGATTACATTGTGATCTGGTCGTGTGTCATTCCCCCCCCCAAGTTGTAGGACTGACTGGACTCTTATAATTCCCCTCTTATAATTGCAAGAGTCTTGCATCTCCATGTTTAAGGTTATTGTTAATTTCTTTTATGTATGCTCAGGTCTTCTGGGACCTTTGAATAAATGATCTGCTTTTAAAAATCGAAGTAAATGAGGTTTTTGTGTGTAAGTTGTGTTTACTTTACTGAATTTTGACGCCTAAAGTATTTTGATACTAGAAAATCCCAGTGGGCATATGATTCCTTTTAAGTATAAAAGCTGGTTAAATTTAGGCAAACTAGACTAAAAAAAATTACAAGAACCGGAGTACAATAGCAACAGTGTATTTTAAAAAAAAAAAAAAAGCAGTTGTTTTTTTTTTTTTTTTTTTGCAAGTGTCTTTACAGTGTTGCCAACACTAGGCATTAAAAAAAACAGGATTTTTTTTTTTTTTGGCTTTTCATGATTTATTTTTTTTAAACACAACTTCTAGATGGTTTTTTAAAAGCTTTTTTGTGTGTTTATTTAAATTGTGGGCATCTTTCAAAAAATGTGTGCAAAATACTTCTTTTTAATAGGATGTCCACGCATGGCATATGACTCAGGGAGGTGGGACTTTAAAAGAAACAGCAAATTGAGACCCAAGAGCACCTGTTGGCAGCCACGTGCTTACAACAGTAGTATTCAGCTCTGAGGTGCTGAGATACATCTCATTGCACGGCTTACGCGATGAACATGCGTTTTTAATTTACAAAACAGTTCATCTGAATATGGGGGGTATACCTATGACCTTTTTGAAAGTTAATTTTTGTTTTTAGAAGTGATCAAAAGTGTTCAGTATAGCATCAGTTCAGTCTTTGTAATTGCTACTGAAAAGGTTTAAAAAAAAAATCTGGTTTCAACAGCCTGGCAGTACTAAAACCAGTGAGAAACCTGCATTTATTTCAGTGGTCTTTGGCTCTGGCTTGCAGAACCACCTGAGATGCTAATTAGAAGTTTTGCAGGAGGCTTGAGGTTGGGCTGAAGCAGTCTTTGCTGTTAAACTCGGATTACTTCTCTTGCCGCATGGCAGCATCTCTGTACAGTGACACCTTACAGGGCTGCAGAGATTTGAGCTACTGCCCTTCAGGTGTTGGAAAGATGCATGTGACAAGTTATCAGATCTGGTAATTTAAACTAGGTCAATGTGTAGTTGCCCATGTAGTGGTTTCAGCTTCATTACCAGTTTACAGTAACTTGACAAATTATTTTGTCCCTATTATTATTTTATTTTAAAAGCACTTTCTTTTAAATCCCATTTGCTAGGAAAGTCATATGCCAGCCACAGTTTTCACTGTTTCTGCACACTGCAGTGAATAAGAACAGCACACTTTGTGTAATTGAGAGACAAATAAAATGTGACATTTTAGTTGGAGGGGGGTGTGTGTAGAAGAATCACATACTGTTTTTCTTTATATATAAAAATGTGAATGCCCCAGCTATCTGAACATTTTGGATTCCTTGGTACTGGGCACCACAGAAGGAACAAGAGAAAATAAGACTGTCTGTAAAGGTAAACCTTTACAGGTGCGAGCACCTTCTGCTGCCATTACCTTCTGTTTGGAAGGAGGCTATAACTGAGTCAGATGATCTGGAATTACTCCATTTTAACTTTGGACATATTCTAGATCTTTGTCTTCTGTTCTTCCCAACTAAATACCCTGAGTCCTCCTTCTGCCTGATTTTCATTTGTCTCCTTGATTGAGTTGTTCTGTTTTTTTTTTATTCCTGGCTACATAGTGCTCAGTTTCAAGAGGAGACTGAAGAGCGGGAGCGTGGTAGTCTCCAGCATGCTGCAGGGTGTAGTCCTCAGGTTCTGCTGCTGTGGAGAAGGGTGGGATTCTGATTTCCTCCTGGCTGAAAGCTATAAACACTGGACTGTAGAGCCAAAGCAGGGCAGCACTACAAACATAGCCATGGGATTGGATAACACCAGTCAGCACTTGTCTAATCTTCTCCGCTTCCCCAGGAGAGTTACATAGACTGGGTGCATTGCTTTCAAAGCTATCAGCAGCACACTAGGGACATGGATACCCGTTTCCCTAGAAGGGGCAATTCAGGGCTATATGAACAAGTGAAGCTCACAGACACTTTTGAGCTGGATACGGAAACCTTAATGTGTGTAAGCACCTGCTGGGTTAGTCAGTCCTGGAATGCCGGCAGGCGGGATTTTTCTTTGGGAGTTCTGTGCATAAAACCTAAGTCTCATTATAGGCAGATTCAGTCTCACCCTGTGTCACTACTGTAGTAGTTAATCCATCAGGAAACATGAACTTTCATTTTATTTTCACCGGGGTTTTAATTATCAAAGCTTTGAGGAGCAAGTTGCATGGATAGAGTAGTTTTATAGTTGATTATATGTGAAATTTAAGCAGATCTGATGGATCAAGGAAAAGAAACTTATTCTATTAGATACCTCTTATTTGAAGGGAGTGGCTGAAGTTAATGTTTTCTTTCTTTTGAATGGCACATATGACTTGTTCCTAAGCAGTTTTGCCACAGTGTAAGCTTACATTGAACTTTCTATTCCATTTTCTAACAACCTTCAGGTTATTCTGAAGTAAATGTATTTGCAATAACAAAAGGGGCTATGTGCAGAAATACAAGGCTGACTGTAAAGAAATTTTTTAATTTTCTAAATGAAAATGTTTTTGAAGCATAAATTGTGTGATAAAAATAACCATTTTTGCTATGTGCTGAAGTTCAAATAATCCAGAAGGTTGGAGCCAAGAGTCCCATTCAAAACTCTGTTCTCTGGATGTCAGCTCAATCACTGACTGTGTCTCGCTAGGCAAGGCTCAGCGTTCTTTTTCTATCCATGCAAAATTGTAGTGGCTTGAGTTGTATCCTCTTTTTGCAGTATTCCTGAATCATAAACAAGAGCAGATTTAAATAAAAGCAAGATTCTAAGAGAAATTAATGTCAACCACCAAAAACGCTTGGACCACAAAAAGAATGTATCTGGAAGGAACTTTTTTCCCCCAGAATATTGTACTGAAAGGCAGTAAAAAAACCTAAAGATGTTAAAAAAAAGGATCCCAGAGGTTCTGTATGTAGTTTTGAAAGGGATATATAGTGCCTGGAAAGGTTGTGAAATCATGTTTACTAACAAATATTCTAAAGCATAAGTTTTAGGGAGATAATAGGCATAATAACAATAGGTAACCCATAACTTACAACAGTGTTCTTTACCAGTAGAATATCTTGTAAATCTGTCCTTGTGATGAACAGCAGCACTTAGTCAGACTAAAAATAATAGCAGGACCGTGTATCTTGGATCCCAGGAGACTATTGGTGTTTTTGTAGACAGCAGACAGGAGAAAAAGGCATTTTGTCCTTTTTACCCCAAGTAATCCCACTGGAAAATTAAACATGTGCTATGAATTGATATCAACTCATGCCAGGTTACCTCCCTAAAGAGGGCTGCTGCGAACACTGTTGCTACATTTCTTGGACAGCAGTTTGATGGCCTGTGTGCATGATGGATATTTTATGCTGTATGCTACTGTGGAACAGTGTGCTACTGTCTGCCCCTCGGAGACTGCTGGTGAGGTGTGCCACAAATAACCAGGAACAGCAATTGCTTTAACCCTACAGAGAATCTCAAATACCTGCAAACTAAAAATGTTACTGAAATATTTCTGTGTGCGTCTGGGAAAACTGTGTTGGTTTTGTTTTTTAAGGTTTAATTCTGCAAAACAGAGCAGTTCCTTTTGTCTTTCTGTAGACTCCTACTGAACACGGGATAAAAAAAATATTAAGCAATATATTAGCAAGAAATACTTAGAGAAACCACGAACCCTTTTTTAATGGACCACCCTATCCAGTTTCTGTTCTTTTAAGGAAGTTTTTCCTATTCATGACTCATTTCACTCTTTGGCTAACATCAAGAGAAATGGAATAACGATTAAGCGAAGGAATGTATGTTTTTTTTTCTGGTTTTGTCCTATTTTCAAAACTTTTATGAATTTTCTGCATAACCTTGTGTAAATATATATGGATGTAGAAGCTTGACAATTGTGACAAGGTAAAAAGTACACTGCTAATACTTGCTTCTTCGTAATTTTTTACAAATGTTTCTTTTGGTTCTACAAGTTAATGTTATGCTGGATACTCCAGACTCGCTATTCAGTTAAAATGACATGCTTCAGCCAGCCAATTACACAGAACTGTTAAGTGAAATTAATGAGATCAACCCCAGATTACACTTTGTGTTTTATTTTCATTTTATAGGTCTGTACGAGCTGCTGGCTGCATTGCCAGCCCAGCTGCAGCCACATGTGGACAGCCAGGAAGACCTGACCTTCCTCTGGGATATGTTTGGTGAAAAAAGCCTTCATTCACTAGTGAAGGTAAACCACGTTTAAGTCAGATTCTCTTTGAGAAGAGCATATGGAAAAGTGTTTTGAGCGCCATCTAGTAAACCAGTGATCAAACTGTTGCTCAGTGAAAACAAAACAGCCTTGTTTTAACTCTGTTTCTGTCAGGGGTGGAAGTTGTTAAATAAGATTCTACCAAAAATACATAGATGATTTCATTTAAGAGTGATGTTTTGGCAGTGTAATGTTAATGCAGCAAACATATGTTGTTTGCCCTTGTTTAGAAAAAAAGAGTACGAAATAGTAGCAGGAAATCTGAGACTTCTTTACGGTCAACATTCAAGACCTGGAGTTTAGCTTAAATAAATAAATGTTCACAGCAAAAATTAGAAGGAATATATTTTCTGAGGTCAAGTATGGCAACAGTTCAGTAGCCACATTAATTTAAAATAATTTCCTTTAACAAAGTCAACTGAAATTCTAGTAAGCTGTTTCTTTTATTGGCTTGCCTCCATTTAAAATTGTGTTTTGCACATAAATATGTTGGACTAAAGTATGACCTAAAATGAGTTTGGAAGAATACTTGAGTAAAGTGTCCTGCTATGAAAATGATCAACAACAAGAAATCAAAGCATGCCATGGGAGTATGCAGAGCTACCCCGATAATGTTAAAATTGCTTATAGCAGAAAAATGGGACCAATCAGCTGGTTAGAAACGTTCCACTCCTACAAAATGGTAAGTATGTCTTTAGTCTCCAGTACAGAGCTAATTCAAGCTGGAAGGAAATGCTGAGGTCTCAAATGAATCAGTAGGTGGTAGTAACCCGTGCCATGAATATTTCCAGGCTCACACATAATTGAGCAGAATTTGTTACCCTTGTCAGTCATTGATCTAGAAGAAGCTTAAAATTGGGATTATTTCAGTGTAGGTTTTAAGAGTCACCTTTTTTCATTTCTTTCAGCTATCTTATTGTGGAAAAAGATGTAATGATGTTGATACTTGACCAAAATTATTTTCAAATTGGCTGAGAATTTACATGTAAAATAAACACAAGTACTCTCTGGTAGTTGATACACAAAAGCAACAAACAGAGGAACAGTACTTGGCAATACTCGCTTGCCTAAAGAATTTCATCAGTTTCTGAAATGCAGTGGTTTCCAGACTCCGTACTGCTTTGCTGCAGCTGTCTGTTCAGATGGCTAACATGATCGCTGAAAGGGGATCACTGGTTTTGTTTCTAATATAGGCTGACAGTGGTGTGCATCTAAGCAAAATGTTAGGTCAGTAGCTAAATCAGTTTTCTTTCTGGATTGGAAATAAAGAAGGCTGGCTTGAAGATGAGTGGTGATCTGCAAAACATTGAAATTTCAACATTTGCTTTAATTTTCTATTGAGGCAAAACCTAAACCTTTTCAAACTTGTTCCCTTTTGCCCCTTCCCGAAAAGAAGACAAAGATAGCACGACAGCAACTAGTTTACTCACCTTGAGTATACTCTCAGTTTGGAAAAGTTGGCTCTCCTAGTTGCATGCCCTAGTTACCATGTTGTTTGTTATTGCAGAGTGGATTGGTCTCTCTGATTTTAACAAAGAAGAGTTCATGAGAGAGCTTTCTTGAGGCGGATAAAAGTTTTGGGGATCAGTGAATGGTCACTTTATTGCAGTTACAACAAGAAGGCTTTGAAGTATTCCAACCATCTTTATTATTTATCTTGTCGGGTGTAGGTCCAACTATTAAATGTACGTGTAACTCTGACCCTGTGAACGGTTCTTTTAATGTCCTATTAAATCTCATACTATCTTAAAATACTTAATTCTTGAAACTGCATCTTCAGTGTTCACTAGTTGCACTTCTTTAATACACCATACTAATTTCATTCAAAAGACAAAGTTTTTTAATTATAAGAATTGAGACTATTAAGAGCATCTGGTCTGACCCAGAGCGTTATCACAGGCTATTGAACCTCACCTTTTGATTTCCGTGGTGTTCAGTTATAGAAAGTAGGGCATGAAGAGCTTTCAAAAGGCTATCTAGTTCGTATCCCTGCCCCAAGATGGGCTTAACTGTATCTGAAACTCATAGTATTTGTTTGACCTTTAACACATTTGTGTTAGAAGGGTTATTCAGTATCGTAGCAAGTTTTAGAGGAGGCAGTCATAGCCTTTTTGGAAGAGAGCTGTAAGAGCAGAAGAACCCCATCTGCCATAGTTTTTCCCAGTTACAGGGCTTCAGAAGTGCCAAATCTTTCTTTCTGGGTTCTGGTGTCTTATTTGAAAGACATCTTTTCCTAGTAGTAACTTCTTAAAGTTAACTGTACTTGCAAACACAAATGTTTTTAATTCCTCAGGCAGAGAATGATGACAGATATTTTTTTGGGGGAAAAAAAAAAAAAAGCACTAGCTTAGAGCCAAGGATGTTGCGATCCTGGTATGATTTGGTTTTGGAAGAAAATTAGCATGGGTATACTACTAATTAGGCACTAACATTTCTCTATTTCAGATAGAAGCACTGCTTAGTAAAAATTTCTACGCTGATCTTCTTACCTTACTGTTTAATAATTTCAAATATTAGAAATGAGATTTTTTCTAAGTTATAAAGTGGATAAAATGCTCCAAATTACTTAAAAGGTTTAAGTATAAAATGAACTTTCTACTTTTTCTACAGATATTCTAAGTTTCATGGGTATTTAATTATCGTAGTGTTTTCTGTATGGTTGTATACTATGGCATATGGTTTGCTATTCTGGCTCTCTTAATGTTGAAAAGAAAGAAAAAAGAAAAAAAAAAAGCCCCAAACGTTGTCTTGGAGTTCTCTTCATTCAGTATTGTTGGACAGAAATCTCTTTGTGAACTTGGACCAGCCTGAGTTGTTCTAAGAAGTCAGAAATGGAAAAGTTGTATTAGATCATCCAGTCCATTCCCCTGCAAATGCTGGATTGTTCCCTGCAGTACATTCCTATTGTAGTAAGTAAAACCAGCAAAAACTGATGCAACTGTTCTTGCTGTCCTTTTTCTCAATAAAGGAATCTGTTGATTAGATTTTAGTTTGCGAAGTATAGAGAAAAGGGAACCCACAACCATTGTTGACAGTTTGGAAGAGAAAACTGGCTCTGAATAGTGAATGTTTAAAATTTGTCTCTGCTTCCCTCAATTTGTTACTTCCTTGTCTTATTACATGACTCTCTTAAGTTCTACTGAAAATCTTCAGCCACCTCATTACTACTTATATAGCAGAGATCCCAATGACTCTGTAGAGATTTATAGAAAAGAAACATGAAGGGATGATCCTTCAGGGTAATAATGAGCACTAATATAGCTGAAACCTGAAATAGTACACATGTGCTCTGCTTGAATTTTTTTTTTTAGAGGAACAGAAGCGATAAATAAAGATCTGTTCTAAATACTCTTTTAGCTTATTTTTAGAGGAGCTGCAAGAATTTCCATGTGTGTTTGCTTGCTGTTAGCACACCAGACATGTTTTGCTGTTTGTCTGTTTAGCTCGAAGATGAAGCTTCTACTTGCACTGTTGCTTTAAACGTTTCTGGCTGTGGATGTAATGCTCAAGAATTGAGTAAGCTTATCTGTTGGGCTGCTACTGAAGTATTTCTTAACCAATTGCATTTTACTGATTGGTTTTGGCCAGCTGAGGGCATGCACAGTTCTTTAGCCAGTAATGTATTTCTCATTATGAAAAAGAAGCCACCGCAAGCGCTGTTGCTGTTCCCGTTCCCTTGATAGGGAAGAGTTTGTACATCCAAAAAACAGTATGTGGCAGTGGAAAAGCAAATAACTACTGCAAAAGGAAGGAATATTTTGTGAATCTAGTCTGATTTTTTTTTTAATAACTGCATAGTATTTTGGTAGCTGATCCTGCAAGACTTTAATTTGTGCTAATTTTCTATTAGTTTCAGCTGGATATGACTTAGCTTGAAGTTCTGAAAAATTATTTTGTATGTGCTAATGTTGGCCTATGTTGATGGCTAACAGCTTTTTCTAAGTAATCTAATCTCTAAAATAGTTGAGTGTATCCTGGTGTAATTTCTTTGGCATGTAAATTGAATCACATGATTACGTAGCCCAAATTTTACAATCATTGTGGCGTACTGGAAGTTTTCAGTGTGAAGACTCAGATTTTTCAATATGTAAATGTAGATGCTTTCAGCCTACTGTGGTTCCTTTGCTGGTAATAGAAAAATAAAGATAGCGTTTAAAAAAAAAAAATGAGCTGACTAGGGCAAAGCAAAAGGGATTGATCTGACACATGCTTACAGTGATAAAATCAACGATCTGCAGATGATGTGCTAAATCTTCAGTCTGGACTGGTACAAGCCTAGTTCATAGGCAAGTTTATATACTTTTAGTTTTTACCCAGAGCTTTACACACAAACTCCATGAAAAAAGCTGTTAATCTGTAGGATGAACGACTTTGCATCTACAGTAGAGAATCAGAGAATCTCAATAAGGTTTCATGGCTTGTTTTAATGTTAGAGGATAGACTAACTGATAACTGTCCAATCTTTCACCTGGGAAGAGCTCTGCACGTTCTTTTGGCACTCGTGGAGGGGTCGTATGGTGCAGCTTCCCCTGCCCTGTGATGTGTCAGACATTCTGCAGCCAACGTCCACGTGCATGCTGCACAGATCGTGTGCGTTCACCTCCCGTGTTGTGCATCTGAATGGTGAATGCTCTTGCCTGGGCACGTGCTCAAGCATCCCCACATTTGGATCTTCTTCCCGAAAGAACGTAGAGGAAATGGACTTCAGATTATGAGTTGTTCTGATGAGTTGTGTGTGACAACTAATTGTTCTGAACTCATTGTTCTGTTTGATGGGGATGACCCATAGATGGAAGGAGGGGATGATACCTGTGTATGTGTCAAAGGACCTGGAGGGGAGTGGTGGCTGAGGAGGATGTATTAGATAGTGTAAGACCTGCGCATGACACAAATGATATGGAATGAAGGTTGGAGTTGGCTTTCTTCATGACAGCCTGACGATGTTGACTGCTTCCACACTTCAAGTGTGAAGCTGATAT